ACATAAGAAGATGTTAAAAGAATAATATCTTAAAGGAAAAAAATTTGCATACATTCAGAAATTTCACAATTCTTCAATTGCTCATGTTCTCCATCAATTGCTTCAAAAGTTTGCATAAAATTTTCGCACACCATCTAGCAAAGCATATATATATATATATGTATATATCATTATCAATAAACTAATTTCACTCGCCAACAGTCATGTCTTAAGGTTGGCAATAACAAAAAGAATGATGAGTAGCAGACGGTTGCCAGGTTAAGTAGCAAGAGCAGCAATCACAAAGCCAAACAATTGATTATTGCGAGTGACAAATAAGGGCTTTGGACAGACTTCATCGATGGGTCAAACGAATGAGCCAACATCGATGAGGAAGGAGACAGGCTTTCTTGATCACTGGAAAGCAAGAAACGCAGTGCTCTGCAAATGACAAAGTTAGGGTTCAACATAGGGTTTTAGCAAACGGACATGGAAGACATCGATCACTTGAACAGTAGTACTGTGCAGATGATTAAGTTGGGGTTAAATGAATGATTTCAGCCTGAAAATTTTATCCTTAACCAAAACAGCTCAAAAGAGAAAGGAAATCTTTCATTTGAAATCTAGGGTTTATTTCAAATTTAATCTAATTTGAAGGATTTCCATGACAATTTCATGTAATAAACATTTTAGCATATATGTAATCTAACTTGTCCACGTGGCCAATAACAATTGGCCCACTTGGAGAGGATTCCAAAACCTTATTTGGGACTGGGGGGTGCCAACGTATTCTTCTCACTTAATAGTAAAAGAAAACAAGTCAGGCAAAATTACCAAAGCCATAGCCAGTCAAAATAATTATCCAAAAGTCTAGAAAAGGAAATAATACTAAGATAAGTCAAAAACAAAAAAAAAATACCTAAATAAGGTAATTTTTTTGATCAAAATACCCTTCCTTGCCAAATCCAACACCTTGGCCCAAGCCCCGGCCTTGGCCCTTTCTGAACCTCATCCCTAGCCTCGTAGTGAATCATAGAGGCCCCCTGGCCCCTGGAGCTAAAAGCCCATCTCCCACCCCTCCACTGGTTGCAAAGCCCTAACCTCCCCAGCCCCCTCACCCCAACTACAAAGCCCCCACCCGCAAGGGACTCCTCAACCGCAACCCCCTCCTCCCACTAGCACAAAGACCCTTGGACCCAAACTCACACCCTGGGCATAAGGGCCCCTCCCCCCCCCCCCCCCAAAAAAAAAAAAAAATGGTAAAGCCTTCCATTGTAGATGACTATAAAGGCCTGCTTCCCCAAGCTATACGGTGCCTTTACCCCTCCTCTCCTCTCTCTCTCTCTCTCTCTCTCTCTCTCACACACACACACACACACACACACACACACACACACACACACACTTTTTTTCCTTGTTTTCTCTTTTGGTTCTTTTTTCTTCTCATTCTTGACAGAAAGCCCTTGGAGACATTGCTTCTGTGTTTTTACAATCAGCTTATTCATCTGTGTTTTACAATCACCCATGTAATTTTTATTTTACAATTTACTCATCTATAATATTTTATAACCACTCATCTATAATTTTTTAAATATCATATGTATTTTTAGAATCACCCTGTTGTAATTTTCTAAATTTATATCTATAGTTTATAAGCTTACATTTACATTTGTACAATTACACATATTTTTATAATCACTTATCTATAATTTTCCAAATGTTTATATATCGTTCTACAATCTTATATCTATATTTTTATAATCACCCACATGTAATTTTTCAAATTACACATGTGATTTTACTAGTTTGCATATGTCATCCATTTGTGTTTTTATAACCACTTTCTGTGTTTTACAAGCCAGGGGCCACGTGGCCATAGGTGTGGGGTTCAAGGGAGTTGTAGGCGCCAAGGAGGCAATAGGGTTTGTAGGCAAGGGGGAGGAGCGATGGTGTTACAAGCAAGGAATGGGGGTGACAAGGTTGCAAACGCAAGGGGCAGGGTTGACAGAGTTGCAGGTTAGGAGGGGACGAGGTTGCCAATGGAGGGCTAATGGGGTTGCAGATGCAGGGGGGGAGTGGGGGGAGAGGCAATTAGGTTGTAGGCAGTGGCGGAGCCACGTTGGGTTGAGGGTGGGCAAATGCCCCCACTCAATATTTTCCTAATAGCTAGGTATATTACAAAATTATTAAAAAATACTCTCCTAATTTTCTAGTTTTGCACCCACTAAAAATATATATTAAATAACTTAAAAATTGGTAGATAAAATTAAATTTAATAAAAGTTAAAGGTGGGTCTAAAAATAAAAAATAATAATACTGAATCACTTTTTTAAATTAGTAAACGTAAAGAAAATGGACCTTTTTAAACTGGTTAAAGGTGTCATTTTCTTTACTTTTACTTTGTTTTTCATCTCTCTTCTTCTTTATGGTTACAGTTTCATTCTCATCATCAGGCTGCAAATATTCTCTAAAATTGTAAAAATAGAGATTTTTTGTTTATCATCTACAATTTCAAATAAAGGTTTAAATCTTTGGATTTCAAGCCTTCTTTTGACTCTATGTGATTTTGATTTCTAGAAAACTCCTATAAGCAGATCCCTCTATATCTCAGTTCACCAATTTGCATTTCGTGGAGATAAGCTTTTACTGAAGAAGGTCTGCAACTCCTTCGTTCTTTTATTTTCAATCACAATTATATCCTGCAAGCCTGCAAGTCATGTTTAAACAATTGATATTTATTCTTTTGATAGCTTTGGATCTTACAATTGCTAAATTTTTTATTATATAATTTGCAATAAATGGACAACAATCATTTTTCCAATTGTTATTTTTTCATTATATAGATCTTGCAATTGTTAAATTTTTTATTATATAATTTGCAATGAATGGACAGTAATCATTTTTCCAATTGTTATTTTTTATTATATAATTTGCAATGAACGAACGGCAATTATTTTGACTTCCAATGTCTTTGACTCCTGCAATTGTTGTTTTGTTTGTTATATAATTTGCAATGATGGATGGCATTATAGCTTCCAATGGTTGCATTAGTTTATTAGTTTTATATATAAATAGCCCATCACATTCTTATCACAAGGCAATACTTATGTTTTTTTTCTTGAAAAAGTCATATATTTTAAAAAAATGAAATGCCTTGTTGATTTCCTTTTTCTTTCAGATTTTTTCTTGAAAATGTCTATGTACTGATTTGAAACAAAATATACTGTAAGCATAATATTGATCTTGCACAAAACTCTTCAAATGATCAACAAATGATTGATAAATCAAAAATTAATTTAAAAGATTTGTCAGCTGATCTGGGAAACTGTAAAAAAATTTCATCATATCATTCCAATGATCAAGATAAGATACAAATTGATCAAGATAATATTGAGAAAAATGTTTTTAACAATGTTGGTAATGAATTAATTATTCAGTGATTTCAAAATATGAAATTGCGTCGAGGATAATTGTAATGTATATTATTTATTTTTTATTATAACTAGAGTTAAATTTTTTATGTTGTTATTTTTTAAATTTTTTTATTTAGATTAATGTCCCCCGTGCTTAGGGTCTTAGCTCTGCCAGTGGTTGTAGGCACAGGGGGGAGGGGTCTGATGGTGTGTAGGCTGCGGGGGATCTGTGTGGGCAATTTGAGGATATTTTGAAAAAAGAAGTTACCTTTTGGCTCTATATTTTTTTAAACATTATCCAGGTTATTATTTTTAACAAGCCAACTCTCTTGGTAATGTTCCCAATAAGTTCTGTTTACATACAAATATCTAGGAAGAGGTGCTAATGCTTGAACATGCCTCGCAACTTTGCAGCTCACTCTCAAATTTTACATCTTGCTTGCTTATTTACCTTCCACTTTAGTCTGAGCAACGACTTACAAGTAGGGAAGTGAAAATTCGTAATCAGTACGTTGTCTCCCCTAACACAGAACATTCTGCAGATGTCATACTTTGAGTTGGAGAGGGAAATTGATCAAGGTAGCGTAAAGCTTTGTTTTGATAATATGAAGTTAAATCCATTCTTGAGGGACTTCCTAACAAAGAAATTTGCAACCTTTGGTTGGCCTTGGCACTTCAAGCACACGGCAGCAGTTGCACCGTCCATGTTTAAGAAGTGAGCTTTGAATAGTTCTGAACATGCACGAGAGAGTTTACTAAAACCACTATTGCTAAGGAGCAAGAGGTTCATAAAGCTCAGTTAATATTTGTGGTCAATTATTTTGAAATCCCTCTAGTTCTATGAACCAAACTTTAACAAAGGTTGTAACTAGAATTGGAGTTCACTGCACAAGGGACAACGCTGGGGTAGGAAGACAGAATTTTAGAATTTAAAAACATCTCCTCGCTAAGATTATACGTATTAAATCCTTTTCCCTTTCGACTACATACAGAAATACAAACATAAGTATAGAAAATGAAAAATATAGAAGTGAATAAGGTGAAGTGAGAAAGATCAGAGCGCTTTCACTCCATGTATAAAAAGTCTTTGTGCCCTGTCCAGGAGAAGATGTAAATTCATCTTCCCTCGGGAAGAACAATTCTTTTTGTAACCAAGGTGTTTACAAGTTATAAAATTCAAAATTCTGACAGCATAAAATTATAATCAGTGTCAGACTCTAGGCTTCCTTTTCTAAACTTGTCTAAACCGCCATGGTTAGAGTATCTTTTTGTTTCAACTCTTAAATCAGACGCATACATACTATAGATAGTTTGAATAAACATATTCTGCTGCTTTTCCTTCAAAATAAATATGATGGCGACACCACCACCAATATGCTAGCCATGTTTCATGAATTCATATTTCACCTGCAAGAACATGAGGAAAGAGATTATGAAGAGATCATTATTGCTGATGATCTTGTGATTTGACTGCACAGGTCAGAAATCAGTCGTCTGTCAGTATAAATTACTCAATTAATGCATGCATATTTAAAATACAGACAAGTTGAGAAACTTGCACAGCATAGCATGTTCATGCAATAACAATATCTCAAATATCTCACCTCCTTAAAGGCTTACAGGGATTCTCAACCCATCATGTGCAAGTTGAACAGGGATCCCTTCTCTGCAGTAGACATAGAAAAGCCAGAAAGGTTAGATCTCTAAAGTTAGAGAGGTGTTACTAACTTCTATCAAAAGCTGAAGGGCAAAATTATTCAACTCAAATCCACATTGGCCTTTGAACCACAAAATTAGAGTCACCTCCCAAAAGAAGGTATTTTAAATAAATTAAATTTCATAGGCAAATTGTGTCCATTATAAATCAAGCCAGACTTAACTCACAAAAATTCCCATAGAACATTGACCCATACCATTTAAGCAGAAATTGCAAGCTATATTACCTTTCTGACCATTCCTTGAGAAATTCATTGTCTTTGTGGTGATCAAACTCATGCGTCATCCCAATTAACAGAGCTCTTTTTGGACATAACTTTTTTATAGCATCTAGAGTCTGTAAATGAATATTTACTTAGCAGCTGTACAAATAGAAGTTATCAAAAAGGATTAGGAGATGTAAGACAAACCTGGGGAAAGCAAAAGTGAGTGTTGTGGGACCCACTCTGCAGAATTTAGGAATAAATACAAAACAAATAAGAAATAAAAGGTTAAATAAATAACAGAAAACAGATCAAAATTTTGAAAGAATGTTTACTTGAAATTAAGAGAAATTCAATGAAAGAATATTTTGAAAACTATAGGTCAGAAACTGCTAGACAAATAATAAAATTCGGGCCCCCAAGTTGACCAAAAAAAAAAATGAATGTCATTTTTATGATAACTGTGCAAATTATCACATTATTTCTTTATACTGTTGTTTATGTATGGCCTCTAAATGTATCTCCCATTGATATCCTTCCCAGTTCCATTGATAAATACTAAAAATACCATTTCTTTGGCCATGTATTGTATTGGCCAGATATTAAATCAACAAGTTTTTGGGTAATCTCCTCCATGTAAGTGATAACAGCACTGCACCTGGCTTCTTTTATTTATGTTCAGTCAAGCTGCCTCTCTATGTCTGTCTCTCTCTCTTAACCTGAGCAAGATCACTTACTTTTCTACTTTGTGTCTAACTACCATGGTTGTAATTGATGCCTTTGCATCTAAAAACAGTTGGGAAATTCCACAACAGAAGAGCATTGTTGAAGGGAAGAACATCGGATATTTGTTGCCGATATGCCATATTAATCTAATTACTCACAAATAGATATCTAACTCAAACTAAAAAAGGAAAAAGAAAAGCAAGACGAAATCATGAAAAGAAAGCTCTTCCTTTGCAAGTTAACTATGCTTCAAAATATAAATATACTTTTACAGATTTTTTTTTTTTTTTCTTTTGTAACCTTGGTCTCTGACACTCTGTGTATATCAGTTAATAAAAATTTTAAGAAGTGTGCAAAGAAAAGGACTAGTAAGAAGCAAATATAAGCTTCAGCTCAGCAATTGACCTTGTATAATGTGTCCAAGATAAGAAGATCAAGCTGATGACTGCCACCTTTGGAGATATCTGTGGAATGAAAATCTTATTAAGGTATGTGTTCTCAATTTGGGTAAAGAATAAGAATAAGAAGAATGGAAGTTCTCTTCAGGTTCTTTAGCCATTTTACAAATGAACCAGACAAGAATAAAGCAAATGTCCTCATTTGATATTTACACATTTGATTACATGAAATATGCAGTATTCATCCATATAGTGCCATCAAAAACAAATACCAAGATTATAAACTTCACCAGAAATTGAATAGTCAGAGGAAGGTTAGTGAACCATAAACCATATAGCTATCTGTTATGTTCTGAGTCTTAGGCATATGCTTCTTTTGTCAGATTTTGGCTCTGCATGTGCATCCATGCATACATTGTTTGAACAAGATTTATGAAATTAAGCATTGAGGAAACTACATTGCATGTTTTTAGGTTAACCAAAGCTTTAATGATAATCAAATTGCACAATATAATAGAAGATTAGATAAGTACACATTCAAAACAAACATGTATAGGCAACCCAAAAACTGAGACCATAAATATCCTATGCTAACAAGAATCCAAAATAATTTAAATTTAAAATATACGTACATGCATATATATGAGATAAAATTCTTAAAACAAATCAAATTCAGATAATTAAATAAAAACTCTAAAATCCAATAAAATAGAACCATAAGTTCCTCTCTACTCTCCATTATTCTCAATCAGTTGGGAAGACTAGACTTGAGATAGCTTCCAAGTGAACAGCAGCCATCCAATAATAAAATGCTTCAAATAGAAGCCTAGGCCATAAAGCATCTTAAAGGCAGGGATCCTTTTGGTGTCAGGCAGTTTCAATCTTCTCCAGATATCCATTAGGTGAAAAAAGTTCTTGGAACACATTAATTTTTACGTGATATATCTCATGCTAAAAATGAAATTACCAAATATCCTGTTTAATGCAAGAGAAGCATCTGAGACACCTTTACACATGATGTGAACAGTGACTTGATCTAGGCCACTGGTTCTTTTGTTTGAATAGAACTTTGTGGAACTTAAAATTGGAGAAGGGCTTAGTGGGTTTGCTCAGTTAAGCTGGTACAAGTTGAGTCAGGTTAAATAACCCAGTTAGAACTGAAGGAAAAATAACTCCAAGCCTAACAGCCTTGACTTCTAAAGGTTTTTTCCTCCTGTTATTATCACTTCAAGTCATTCCTATTATAATGACACTGTTTTTGCTAAGAACCAAAGTTGCACTAATTTCCATCTTTAGAGCTAACAATGTTACAGTACTTAATTGTCTCTCCTCTCTCTAGTTCTCAATCAATACTTATCTCTGTATTTTGGCAGCAGCTATTGCTGAGTTTTGTTGCAAAGGTTCATTGTCACAACCTTGGTGAGTGTCATCATGCAGTAATTGCTTGTTCTTCTTAACCAAAAATATCCACCTTAGAAGAGAAGCTTGATCAGTATTGACAACGTTCACCAAACTTCTTAACATCGATTCAGTAGTGGCAACCCACAGTCCCGGGCAACCATAATCATTGACAATGAAGGAGTTTGAAACATTCATGTCCTTCATAGTGACTCACTGTTTGCAAGCTAATGAAATTAAAGCTTTGCTTTAACATCATGTTTCATTTTTGCCTATAGTTACCCAAAAGACAGGCAAATTGGCTGCCATCAGTTACTGAAATCACATTCTTGCACTCTTACGTCAACTGTTATCTTCTGCTAGTCTTCATCCACAACCAAGAATAGTTGTTGCTATATCTTCAATTTCACAATAACGTGATTGAACCAGTTGACTTTATCTTGCGGCATTCTCAAAGACATGTCACAACCTGGCTGTGCTTCTTTGTTGCACAGTATCATGAATCCTAGGACTCAAAATCTAATCACCAAAATAGAATAACTTGGAAGGGTCACTTCACCCTTGAATGTTGATTGCATATCACAAAAATAGATGAGAAATTGAAATTTAGTAGCTATGAGTGAGAGGATCAAAGTACAAACTCACAGTGCTCAGTGGTTGGAAGAATTCGAGAAACATCAGATATATAAGCTATTTTACTTTTTTTGCCAAAAGAAAACCAAGGGAGACATAATCTTCACCATGCATCACCTATATTAAGAAAATAAACAGTAAGCAAAAGGTGAAGATATAAGCGGCAAGATCTAAGACATGATAGTGATGAGATTGATGTGGTGCAACTAACAGGCAAAGGAACAAGTTCTAGTCCTGATGCAACAAATGGCTTCTTACAATCATTCTCAATTATCTTCCAGTCAAGTTGTGCAACCCTCCTCACTTCCTGGCCTTCCTTAAGCTTTTTCTGAACCAAGTATGGAAATTTCACAGCAATACTTTTTCACATAGACAACAAGCAAAGTGTCAAAAAATAGAATGCATGTTAAGTAACAAATAGTGTGTAAATTGAACCATCAGATGCCAGCAAAATACATATGTTGGCTACAGAACTAAATTCTTGCTAGAGAGCTCAAAGTAATATACTGAAATTTCCCAAACTAATGTTCAATTGTGGAATGCCAGCATCTAAATTGAATGATAAAAGATTTACAATTAAGTTGGAACTTACAAATAGAAATTAGAAAGGTCCTAAATGACCTAGTTTCTAAATGATGTTTATGGCTAAGAATATTATGAGTTTCTTTCTTTTAAAAATTACTAGCTACTAAACAAAAAAATAATCTCATAAGTAATATTTAAGTAAACAAAATATTCTGCAGTATCATGTTTTGATTTATTATCCACCAGGACAACCAAAAGATAAAAGCAGTTATGTGCCATCAAAGTGCCAAAATATAAATGTTTATGCTCGCATTTTCATTCCAAACTTGTAGCTGACATCCACATGACAATAGAAAGGGTATATTAGAAATGGAAATAAAATGGTGAAAACAAAATAACTAGTAGATTTAATTAGAAATCACATGCATATTCAATTATTAACAAGTTCCAGAATTACCTATTCATTGCTTCTTCAGAGAGGTAAATGGGGGTTGGATCAATGTCATTTGTAGGGCTGAATGGCTGCACAACACGAATGTCATCCAGACCAAGAACTGCATCAGCATGTTCATGGGTCAAAACAATCTGCAGTTGATACAAACTTTAGTTCATTTTACGCTAGATCTCAAGCAAATTTGAGAACAATCAGCACATAGCATAATTAACAAGGATTAAATATTATCCAATTCTTGGAATTCTACAAATAAAGGGAAGGAACCAGGCACATGCCAGCTTCATGATTTGCAGTTCTCCTAAACTTTACATTATCATTCTAATATAGAAGCACAGACATTCAAGGGCTGCTTGCCACATCAACAATTTCATAGGCACAACTAAAATGTGTTTCAAACATAATTCCAAAGCAAGATTCAGTAATTTTTGACACATTTAAGGAATTTCTTGAATTCAAGGAGCAAGAAATTTTATATTAAAAGAGAGCAACATCTCCTCTTCTCCCAGGAATCTCTCTGGAAAAGTCTCCTCCCCCACTTGAAAAGTCTCTCAGAATCTCTCTCTCTCTCTCTCTCTCTCTCTCAAATATCTCATCCTACCATTCTCTCTCTAGAACACTCATCCACTCCATAGTCTTGAAATTAATCATTGTAAATGCTTCTGTGAGGCTTAAAGATAGAAGAAACTTAGTGGTTGCATCTATAAAAGGAGAGATTGGAATATCTAGTGCATTTCAACTGAGTGAAGAGTGATCTTATATGAAGATATAAGGGATGAATAAAATTTCATAAGTGAGAGTTTAAGACCTAAATGGTGTTTTGTATGAGTTATTATAAGGGATGATTATTCAAACCACTTTTGTTGTTAGTGATTCAATTGGTCATTTTGTTGCATGAAATATGAGTGTTTTTTTTCTGTAATAATACACAGCTTGCTAGTATTTTCTCTTCAAGTTCTCCTAGTAAGTGAGTTCATGCAATTATTGATTCCAGTGTGCGCATGCATGCATTCCTATGTGAGACAACTCCACGTAAAGGAAAAATTAAAGGACAAGATTGTTTTAGATAAGATGATAGGTAGTGGCTTAATGTTTATGGTATGTAACCTTTTGCTATGTTTTCACCAACAATAAGAAAGTGTAGATATTTAAGCAAAATAAAAGAAAATAAAAAAGAAAACTAACCGAATCCACACGAGGTATCTTATGTAAAGTAAACCACCGAAGGACTTGTTCCCTAAATGTCTTCCCAACATCAATCAATATATAATTGTGTTCACCATCATTCTGGCAATAATCAATAAGAAGGGAAGTATTGCACCTGCATATGAAAAACCACTATATCATATCATTGTTTTCTAGCTACATAGTTGGAAAGGCTGAGCAATAACAGCATAATGACCATACAACTAACATTAACAATCATCAAGCAACATTTGTAGAAATTCCCTTTTTCTCTATTGGAAACTGTTTCAATTGACAATAGGCAATTAGGCAAGTGATTCTCATTATGGATCATCACAAGCAGTGCTTCTCAACCCCAACAGCCACCGCAGAAAAAACATGAAAAAACATTGAAATAAATAAATAAAAATTATACTTAAATTCAAATTCAAATCATTCTAATACCATAAACATGCTATTTACTCCAAATCACACCCAATCAACAACATCAGAATAGAACAGCCCCCCAGCTACAACCCAGATTCATAGATCCAGGCCTGAAGTCATTGGGAATGGAGGGAAATTAAATATTAAGATAACAAAAAATAAAGGAGATGAATATGATTACCTGTAGTTAGGGTTGCGTTCGGGAGGCACAGACAATGACGAGAAGCAAACTGGGCAAGGGGGATCAGAAGGTTGAATCAGGCACATACCATTGGGAACAGCGCTCGAACAACCAGTACCCAGGAATACCAAAGCCGATTTGGATGGATCTTCTGCTGCATTAGAGATGTCCATTTTCCGATGGCATCAAAAGCGTGCCTAGACGTGTATATAGATAAATATATGTCAGATATTATATATATATATAGAGAGAGAGAGAGAGAGAGATAATATATGGCTAGAGAGAAGTGAAAACGCGAGGGAAAAACGAGTCATTCCCAAATCCTGGGAGAATATGCGAACGGTTTAGGCGGGTTGGTCTTACGTATTATAATGGTTCTGATTTCTTTTTCTTTTACTCTTTTGCTTTTGTATTTACGAATGTTGAAAGAGATATATTAAATATTTTAATTTAGGTTTTAATTTATTTTATTTAAAAATTTTTATAAATAAATAACTAAATATATTTTATTACAATTCAACTTTTAAATTTATTTTATTTGAATCTAATTTTTCCAAATTCATTTTTCGTATGCCCACTTTATTTTAAAGTCAAATAAATTAATTAATTTTATTTAAATTCACTTTATCTAAATTTACTATATTTAAATCTAATTTCTCTATACTCGTTTTTTAAAATTCATTTAAACTTATAATCAAACAAGATTAGGGCTCAGATTTTAATTTTTCATTTTTGAACATAATCTTGTAATATATTTATAACATTTATTTAGAATCACATTATATATAAAAAAAAAAATAATTATTTTTTATTAAACAATAATTTTTATTTTGATTATAACAATAATCCTCATTATTACACAGCTTTCAATGAAGGTAATAAATGAAAATAAAGAAATTCCACTTTCTCTCTTTATTAAATAAAAGTAGTACAATTAATATTTTTATGTTTAATTAAATAAATGACACATGAAAAAATTTTAAGACATATTCAAAGGTCATATATCAAGTAAACAACAGTTTGAGTGCCAATTGGTAGAAATTTTTAAGGATAATTACTAAAAAGAAGATTAAAAAATGATAATTATTTTTAAGACCAAATATAAAAATAATTACAACAAAGTCCCTAAAGGACAAATAATTCTAGAAAAGACCAAACAACAAAAAATTACCCATTTAAGTTATTTTTCTAATACCGAAAATACCCCTCATCCCTCTAAAACCACTCTCGCACGCCCAACCATCATTCCTACCCCGCCATCAACCTTTGTGCGTTGTCGATCTTCTTTCAGCCATCTTCTTGCGTGACCAAGCTTCATTCTTTAACCTATAAGTCTACGATCTGCAAGGCTGCGTTCTATTATATTCCTTCTTCTTCTTGCTTTAGCGTCTAGTGCTTTTCAGCTTGTAGTTTTACTTCCTTCTTACATTGGGACCAGATCTTAATTCTTACTTTTGGTTATACCTTGTTATTCTCTTGTTGTTTGTCGCAAGCTTTTTTGATCGACATTGCTCCTGCTCAACCTCCTAGTCCAAGCTTTTTGGTTATAACATTCCCTAGACTAAGAAGGTAGGACGACATGCATGCATCGATAAGTTACAAGCATTCATCTAATGGTTTATAAGGAAGTAATCTGTGTAACTATAACAATGCAACTGTCCTACTATTTGTTTGTTATATTATAATCGGACATCTGTATTGTTGCAGCCATCTACTTGTTAATTTACAATCAATGATCTGTATTTTATAGTTAGGAAATAGTATCTGTACATTAATGAATATCCTATTCTACAGTCGCCATCTGTCTTTGTACAGTCATGCATATGTATTTTCAATATGTCTTACAATCACACAACTGTTATTTTGTACTCAATCAAGCCTTTATCAGGTTCGGTTTTTTACAATCATGCTTCTAGTTTATTTTAAGTGACTCGTCGGTCGAATTAGAGTAAGTCGCCTGTCTTTACATCCCGATTTTTGCTTTACACTCAACCATCTGTCATTTTTACAATCATGCATTTGTTAATTCACTGTCTCTCTCTGTGATTGTATACACATATTTCCGTTTACAATCACCTTATTTGTCTTAGCGCACTTATGCATATGTTATTTTACAGTCTTCTATCTGTAAATGCATGCATATAATAGTATAGATATAGATCTTTATATTCACCTATTTGTATATTTTTAGTTATTCATCCGTTGGTTTACAGTCATTGATCTATCTTTTTATAATCATGAATCTGTTGTTTTGCATTATTTGTTACATGGTTACAGTTTATGCCTACTCTTATTTCTTTTACAGAAAATGGCTGGTATATACTACTATTGCCATATGGATGGTGAGATACTAATTTTCAATAGCACTATTAAGTATAAGGTGGTCAGACATTTGGCACAAATGTTCTTTATAGTACAACGTTTCCAAAATTTAAAGAGATGTTGAATGAAACTTTTGAGTATGACTTGGAAAATCGCCCCATACAATATATAGTCAGATTCAACCAAATAAAGCTGATTGGTCTATTTTCTTACAATGGCATTGCAAACCTCATAAAAAAATAACAAAATTGTGCAATGGTATATATTCTTACCAGTCTTTTATGCGAAGGTCCAAATCAATCGAACCAGTTGATATCAAGTATAAGGTATCCCTATTTAATGTTGTTTTATTTGATTACAATGTCAGTGAATTTGCAAGCTATTATTCCATAATAAGTCTAGCTGTTACATCTGTAATTTTACAATTAAGGAATTGTTATTTTACACACATGCATATGTTATGTTATGTTATGATATTTGTCCATTTACGATATTGTATTAGTTTATTATTAACCCGCCATTGGTTTTTATTTATTTTTTTTGCAATTATTCTAAATTACTCTTACTTGGTTAATTACAACAACAGCCTAGGATTAACATGCAGCCAAGCATGTCTGCATTCAGACAATTTGCTTTCACCCTTTATGGTTGCTTTGCCCTCATTATCATCCATGCTAATATTTGCCTCCATGCAATACGCTGTTTGTGATTATTGGAAAAGGGCAAGTTTTTGAAAGTAGTGAAGAGTTGAGTGTTATGCTATGCCAGTTTAGCTTGGCCCATGGTTTTGACTACAAGTTTTTGTGAAATTCTCCCTTTAGGATACACGCTTAATGCATGGCTGAGGGATGTCATTGAGAGCTAATTGTCAACAGAATTCACAATATGGATATGTTTGATTGTTCGGACATATGAAGGCAACTATAGTCACTCGGCCCAAGATTTGATCAATGTCCACCATCGGTGGAATGCTAAATTGTTGGCGTCAATTGTCAAGAATAAATTCTCAAGAGTGCCCAACATAACTCCTAATACACTTCGTGGTGAGTTCCTTAACGAGCATGGAATAAATTTGACATATAAGCAAATATAGAGATGTAAGCAGAGATCAACTGCAGAGCTACATGGAGATCTTGCAGAGTCATATATGATGATTCCATGGTTTTGTTAGAGGCTCTAGCAGACAAACCCCAGCACAATTGCAGTATAGGAATGTTCCAAAGATAAGAGGTTCGAGCGTCTATTTGTTACATATGACTCCTCATTGAGAGAATTTCAAAATGGATGCCGACCTTTGTTGTTCATTGATGGATGTCATTTGATTGGTCCATACAGGAGAACACTACTATCTACAAATGCAATTGATGTGAATAATGACCTATATCCAGTCGTATACAACGTTGTGTCTGGGAAAACATTAAATGAGTGGACCTGGTTTTTTGTTGAAGGTGAAGGAGGTAGTAGGGACAGTTGATATCACCATAATTTCGGACCAGCACGAAGCATAAAGGTGCAGTTTGTGCAGTATTTGGACATTCTTGTCATGCCATATATTACAGGCATATAAAAGAAGATTTTTCAGCCCAAATAAGGAAGCATTGTCCATGCATCAAAAGAGTCAAAGATGATGCATTGTACATATTGGACCAAGTGGCACACATCAGAGTTGATTATAAATACAATCATGCCATGAATAACTTACAACAATTTTCACCCGAGCTTGCAAGTTGGGTGGAAAATCGCTCGGATGTCGAAAAGTGGGCGTTGTCAAAATTCTCTCACATGCCATTGGAAAAGATAACTACCAACATTGCCAAATTCTACAATGCTTAGGTTGTAAAAGAGAGGGCCACAAGCTATTTTAGTTCATAAAAGAGTATCACGAAAAGCTTGCCATGAAGCTTATCCATCCAAGCCAAGAAGATTTGCTGAAATGTAGAATGGTGTGGCCCCAAAAATAGAGAAGAGATTATTGGGGAATGTTTATCTTTGTGTGTGTATGAATGCACTACAGTATGGTCAACACAAGTATAGGATACAAATAAAAACACATGACTTTATTGTGGTCGTGCATTATCAATTGGGTTCTTGTAAAGAATGGCAACAGTGTGAGATACTGTGTTGCCATGCTTGTGCTGCAATAAAAGCTGCAAAGAAAAAATGTATATACTTTTATAGATGAATGTTACAGCCAAGTAGTACAAGTAAGGATCTATGAGCATACAATGCTACCAGTTGACACAGCCAACATGCCAGATTTAGAGAACTACCGGCCAAAATTTGGTTGACATATGAATTCATACAGCCGCCTCTGACATCAAATCTACCAAGTAGGCCACAAAAAAAGTAGAGGGAGTCGCAATTCAACAGCAAATGACAATATTATTGCTCTCAATGCTTCCAAAGTAATCATAATCGTAGCACCTGTAAAAATCCAAACCCACATGATGGAGATAAGAAAGTGTGAAATAATATCATAATTGTTTTACTTGTTATGATTGTGATGTAATTGTAATTGTTTTGATTTGACCAATAAGTGTAATTGTCTGCAATGCTGAATTAATGAATTGTAGACAAATTTATTATTTCTTAAAGCTTACATTCATCCATCTGTTTCCTTACAATCCTCTATTAGTTATTTTATAGTTTGTCAGTCATTCTATTACAACTATATATTAGTTGTTGTATATTTCAATCCTATAGTTGGCCATTTACAATCAAAAATTTGTTGTTTTACGATCGATCATCTGTTTGATTATAATAGTTATCAAAGGAAGTAT